AATATAACTTGAACTTATATATATATAATAGAAGAAAATTAGATTTATTTCAGATAATTAAAAACGCTTGTATATATGTATATATATAAATTTATACTTTTATTTCACATGTACATATGATAACAATATATAAAAATGTAATGGTCACAATACTTGTGGACTCTCTCTCTAAACAATAATATTGCCAGATATTATAATCGAATTACACTTGAATATATACAGCCAAATTCTATACACAATTATCGACGTCATAATATTTTATTTACACGATTTTTCTTTTCATCTGGTTCAGCCAATCTCGTCATGAAATAAAAGTAAGCATGACTATTAAAACCGAAAATCGGATGGTATATAAATTTTTACAAATAATTATTATACAAAACAATATTTAAAAAATGTATGCTTAATCCATTGATCGGAAATGTAAATGTTCTGAATATGTCATTATTATAGAAGAATGAAAAAAATTTCCTTCTTATTATTCAAGAACTTGTGGTCCCACGAAAGATTGACCCTTTACGATTTGACATAAGTTTTCTCCCGCATACGAGAGTAAAGGAGAAATTTCGACGTCGTCTCCTACTTGTTTCGCACCTGCTTTCAACAGCCACTTTTTGTGTAAATTGAGCAAATCAATACGAGCGGTGCTTGGACAATCTTGACCAACGGAATTTGAATTTTTCAGCGGACTAAATTCCTCCTCGCGCGTTCCCTGCCATACTGCAAAATTCTTTGCAAAAGGAAATACGTCAAACACAAACTTTTCTATTTTGATACCGTTAGGAATTTTTGGAACGATTCTTTCTCCATCATCATTAACATATGAAATTTTCTTTTTTGCTACGTGCAAAAGTAAATCTTTCTCATAAAGGTGTGCAATATCCTTCAAAAAGTCGACCGTAAAGTAGTGATTGCATATATTAGCAGCATTGTATATCAATTGTCCATTGACATGTCGAAGCTCTGCAGTTTCTTTTGTTATTTCGCTGTATTCAACTATTTGATAGTGATTCTCCACCTATATTAACCGAAATAAAATTAGTATAAACTTTGTATATAAATTTAATTATCATATTTATTATAGAAGAACATACCTTACAAACTATACCAACGGCTTCAGAAGGAGAAGACTTTTCGATAACTTTAACTCCGCAGTCGGTTTCAGATAGCAAGCAGTATCCTATGAATATAGGATCTGCTACTTTCACCACAATGTTGTCCACGGAATGTGCGTGAACACTTCGGATACCGCGTTGTTCCATATCATCCAATATTCCTTGAGCTTTCAAAGCGCGATACAATCCTCCATTACCATCGGGAGCCTTGGAAACACGATGCTTAGCGTCCAAAATAATTTTTCCATCGAAGGTGAAACACGGTAGCATACCCTGTTTAAAAGTTTTGACATTTTTCTCTTTTAAACCAAAATAATTGCGTTTGTTTAAATATTCGACAGTGGCATCATGAGTAGCTTCGCTAGTAAGGATATACCTGAAAAATAAAATTAAATCAATTTCATTTTCTTTTCCTTATCACATATGTTACATTACAACAACAATAGTTACATTCAGCAGAAAAAGCAGCTTTGCAACTGTTATAAGATTCTTTAATATGATTGGTTTATACATTTAGATTCAGTGAAAAATTAATGGCAAAATCAATCATATTCAAAAATTTTACAATAGTTGCAAAGCTGCTTTTTCTACTAAATACAACCAATGAGACTTGTTGATTCTCCAACTCTTACCAAGTTATTTCTCCATGTTTCCCATATTGTTGTTGTGCCATACTTTGTAAGCAGAGTATTCTTTCTGCTTGCAATTGAAAAAGAGTTTTATGTGATGGCAATGCAACATCATACATCCCCTTAGGATAGGTAACTCCTAGTCGCGTGCCTTGACCACCTGCCAACAATAGTACAGCCACGCAACCTTGGGCTATTTCTTTCAAACCACGTTCCTTGTACGTATTCAACTCTTCCTCAGTGGACGTCTTGACGGAAGCTATCTTGGTCTGATCAATTGGCTGTATCTTGTCATCCAATGTATTTTGGGCAATGGTCTGAGAGGATTCTACAGCCTTCTTAAAGTATGCCGTAACTTCCTGCAGATCAAGCTCATCTATATCATTCTCCAGCTGGTTCCTATCCTCATCCACCAACTCCTCCCAAAATCTGAGCAGATGTTCCTGATCATACTCGCTCAGCTTCTTTTTTAGACGCTCCATACTCTATGTCGTGTCAATAATTTACGTTTGACACTTGCGAACGCTTGTGGAAAGTGTATCCCCTTATCGCGTGTCGCGTTTATCGTTGTGTGCTCTGTGTAAATCCCTCGATCTCGATACAGCTGCCCACGTCACGTCAAGACTATTCAAAAGACAGTCGAGACGCGAACGCGAGCGCAAGGGAAAGAACGAGAAAGAGGCAACAGGTATTCATCGGGTTCGATCGGCCTCTCTCGCGACCACAAGTAACGGCAACATACCTTCACTTTCACAATTCCACGTAGCACGCCCGGCTCGATTTCTCTTATCGACTCCTCCCGCCAAACCGGCCTTCTCTGCGCATACAATCTTCTTTTTCTCTTCTACCATATCTTATAACGTCTTACAACGAGCCGTCGTTTGCGTGGTCGATGTGGCTCGTGTCGTGGATGCCGTCGTTTAGAAGAATCAATTGTTCTGCGACGTAACAGTCAATAATAGGGGACAGATAACCTGTCAGTATCAACAAGCAGACAAGCTCCTTGTTCGTTTCGTTTCGTCTAACCATTTCACAGCTGTCAGCGAATCAAACAAAAGAGACCACTCACAAAGCAGCACGTAAGATTGTACGGCGCCGCTATTGATAAATAATAAACATTACTTTATGTCTTGTCAATCTTGTAACGGCGAAACCGTCGCAATGCCACTTATAAACAAATAGATGTAAACATGTAAATCAATGTTTCTTTCTTCTATACCGGCGCCGCGGCGAGTCCCGGTAAGAAAGCGAACGACCTTGATTCAAGAACTACATGCTGTAAAAATGACTGTCTAAACGAGAATTTCTGAATATTTTTCTTTTCTTTTTTTTATTGCTTGCGTTAATATTCGGTGACATTCCAGATTTCAATTCGCTCAGGAATTAGTATATATCTCATATATATATACAGTGAGAGCAAAAAATACAAGGAAATTTTTTATAAAAAAAGTCTTATTTGTAGAAAATAAACATTAATTAGCAATTTTGTACAATGAATACATTCTGTTCTTACATTAACAAATGAGCTTCGCATATATTTCTAATTTTAGAAACTAAATTTCTCAATTATACGAATACTTTTTGAGCATCCAAATAATAGAATTTTTTATTTTTGCTTATTTTTTTCAGATAATATATTTTCTATAATTAATACACATCTTTTTGATACATATAATTTGAAGAAACATACAATCTATTTTATTTTTTATGAATGAATTGTTAATTACCCAGCAAGAAATGAGCGTCAATTAAACGTCGAATCGACGTTAAATTGGTGTTGAAATCATCATATCGATATTGATTCAATGTCAATTCAATGATTCATTTCTCGCTGGATAATATTTACTTTTTAAGAATAAAATTTTTTAAAAAATTTTCTCTGTACGAACACTTTTTACACTCACTGTATATGTTATATGTATAAACTTTCTTCTCAATATTCAGATAACAGTTTTATCTGAGTCGTGATTTTGATAACAATTTTTATCACTTTACTACGATCTTGCTTTCCGCAATATTGTAAACACTATGTAACATATAAATGTAAAACAATCTAAATTCGTACCATTTCCAAATTCGTACGAGACACATGTCCAACGTAACTCAGAAATATCTGTGGAATTTTCACACGCTTCTATATGTATATATAATCACGGCATACGATTACAGAGAAACACATTGATAAACGATCTGTGTCGCAACGACACGTCGTCGTTTTAAAAGATAAATATATAGATAGATAAAGACTGAAAATATGTATAAAATATGAATAAATTTGAAAATATGTATATGTATAAAATTTGAATAATAAATATAAATAATATATAAATAAATGAATAATA